GGACATGTTATCAGGAGTGATCAGTCCCTGGAGAAGGACATCATGCTTGGTAAAGTAGAAAGTCAGCAAAAAAGAGGAAGACCCTCAATGAGATGGATTGACACAGTGGCTGCAACAATGGGCTTAAGCATAACAATGATTGTGAGGATGGCGCAGGACTGGGCAGTGTTTTGTTCTGTTGTGCATAGGGTTGCTAGGAGTTAGAACCAACTCGACAGCACCTAACGACAACTAAAATTTAACTGGCTTGTAATCTTCGAAAGTGTCAAGATCTCCATGGTTTCCAGACATCTAGGTCAATGGCATTACGAAGTTTATTAAGAAAATCTTCTGCATCCCACTTTGCTGAGTGGCGTCTGGGTTCTTAAAAGCTAGCGAGCAGACATTTAAGATGCATTAATTGGTCCCAACCCACCTGGAGTAAAGGAGAACGAAGAACACCATAGACACAAGGAAAGCATTAGTCCAAGAGACAGAAAGGGCCTCATAAATCAGAGACTTCATCAGCCTGAGACCAGAAGAACTAGATGGTGCCTGGCTACCACCAAAGACCTCTCTGACAGGGAACACAACAGAGAGTCCCTGAGGGAGCAGGAGAAAAGTAGGGCGTGGAACTCAAATTCTAGTCAAAAGACCAGACTTAGTGGTTTGATTGAGACTGGAGGGACCCTGGAAGACACGGCACCCAGACTCTCTGTTAGCCTAAAACTAAAACCATTACCGGGGCCAACTCTTCAGACAAGGATTAGACTGAACTATGGGACATAAAATGATACTCATAAAGACTGTGCTTCTTAGCTCAGATAGATACATGAGACTAGGTGGGCATTTCCTGTCCAGGGGCAAGATAAGAGACATGAGACTAGGTGGGCATTTCCTGTCCAGGGGCAAGATGAGAGGGCAGAGAGGGTCAGGAGCTGGTTGAATGGACATGTGAAATCGGGGGTGGAAAGGAGTGTGCTGTCACAGTATAGGGAGAGCAACAAGGGTCACATAACAATGTATAAATTTTTGTATGAGAGACTGACTTGAATTGTAAACTTTCACTTGAAACACACACACACACAAGTGTCAAGATCATGACCGTGAAGGACTGAAAGAGACTAAAACGACATAATTAAATACAGTATGTGGATACAATACATGGTTCTGAACTGGATCCTTTTTAAAAGGCATTATTGAAACAACTGGGAACTTGAATGAGGTCTACGGATTAGATGGTGGTAATGTATTAGTGGTAAATTCCTACCTTTGGTGGTTATACTGTGGTTGTCAAGGAGAATATCAGAGTTTGCAGAAAATACACACTGAAGTGATTGAGTGCTGGCAACTTATTCTCAAATGGTTCAGGAAAAGGAAAATTTCCCATGTGTTATAAAGTAGAACTGCTTCATAGGTTTTTCCTGGCTGCAGTCTTTACAAAAGCAGTTCACCATGCCTGTCTTCTGTGGTGCTGCTGGGTGGATTATAACCACCAACCTTTAGGTTAGTAGTTGAGAGCAAACTGCTTGCGCCACCCAGTGACTTTTTCTTTGTACTACTTGCTATTTTTCTGTAGGTTTGAGATTGTCTCAAAATAAAAGTAATAATAAAAAATAAAACAATGCCATTCTTACTTTTTTGGGAAAAATATAGTTATTTTTCTTAAAAAATTTGTTAACATATAATGGCTTTATTGTTTTTTTGAATGAATTGAAAGATATTTTTAAAATGCCAACATTTTTATTTCTATATGGTAGATATTGATAGATATAACCCACATAATACAAAGCTCTTTGGCATCTTCAATAATCTTTAATAGTGTAAAGGGGTCCTGAGACCAAGAAGTTGAGAATTGCTGGATCTAGTCATTGAGGGCTAATAGCTGCTAACATCACAAAGAGAGAAGCAATCAGACGTTATATACTTCCTGATGAAAGAACAAACCTATAGTTTTGTCGGAGGGATACAGTGTGAGTCTGATCACGCAGGAAATACAGAGAAGAGAGGAACATGTTAAACTACATGAGTATACAATCTGAGAAATCTAGACTGTGGGAAACTTTGTAGGTCAAATACTCCAGGTTCTTCAACAGATATATTGAAAGGAAAAGAAAGTGATAGAGGGGAACCTGTAGATTAAAAGAGATCTAAAAGACTCATAAAATTTAAAAAAATGTGCCAGACTAAACTATAGTGTCTAAGGATACCAACGTGGTTGATAAAACTGTGAAATATTATAAGGAAATGATTCCTGTAAGAGGCAGGGTAGTGATTACTTTGAGGGGTGTAGAGACTGAGATTGGGACAGGGTGCAGAAGGAGCTCCTGGGGTGGCAGGCAAAGTTCTGTTTCTTGGTCTGGTTAGTGGTTGCAAGAGTGTCTTCCTTAAAATAATCCATTAGACCGTATATATTTGTGTTTGTGTGTGCACATGCAGTTTTTTGTATCTGTTATTTTACAATAAAAAAGTGCTTCAAAATAGTTGAGGTAGTTAATAATTCCGGGGGAAGAAACACACAATAAAACTGTACAATAAAGGAAATGTAGTCATAGTACACAACTTGGCCCAGTAATAAAGATATTTACTTAATAAGGTAAACAGTAAAACCAAACCATACCCATTGCCATTGAGTCTCATAGTGACCTTATAGGACAGAGCAGAACTGTCCCATAAGGTTTTCAAGGAGCAGCTGGTGGATTCGAACTGCTGATCTTTTGGTTAGCAGCCATAGCACTTAACCACTGTGCCACCAGGGCTCCAAACACTGACTGCTGATAAATAAAGAGTTGTAATTTAGCTCTATAGGAAGGATGGGGGATGTGTAACTGTTGGGTTGACATGAGAGACCTAATCCTCACTGGCCCTTGTTAGAGATCATTATACAATTTCTTAAACTGTTAAAGGAAAAAAAAACAGTAATATAAGAATACTTAGAAACATGACAGTTTATACCAGAAGAAATATCTAAAAGAATTGAAAGTGGATGTTTTGGGGAGCAAGTAAAGACTAGTAGTGGGGAGTAGTGAACCAGGATTGCTGTTTTTATTATAAGCCATTTTGTCTTTTTTTTTTTTTTTGCATTTCTTTGATTAAAAAATAAAAATTAATTAAAAAACAAATATAAACCATAAGACTACAGCTGCATGAATTCTCACAAATGATCATGTAACAAATCCCCAGCTCAATAAACAGAACTGGTTCCTCACTCCCAAAGGGTTAGCATTATCCTGACTTCTGACCTTTAACTCTATAGATTAGTTCTGGCTTATTTGGTTCACCATTGTGTTTGTGAAATTCACCCGTAATTTTATGTGTAGTTATAGTTTGTTCATTCTCATTGATTTAAAATAGTCCATTGTGTGAACGTATCACATTTATCCAATCTACTGTTAACGGACATTGGTAGTTTCCGCCTAAACTTGCTTTAATTTTGAAGGAGTAATGTTGTATGTGTTTGCTTGACTAACCTTTTAAAAATTGCCCTGATTTCAGTAAAAAAATGTGAAAGTACAGTTATTTTACTTCATTGATGATAATTTAATCATTATGCATTTTTATTACTTGTTGGGGCCTAGCTCAGTACTCTACTTAGCTAGTAAGTACTTTTTATAACTGCTCTGAGTGTAATTGGTGAACTGAAGAGTACGTAGAGGAGAGTAGGCATCTTAGATGCTGAACTGGGGAATTATGAAGGATTTATGGAGAAGAATTGAGATGATCAGAGAGAGAAGCACATGTTAGACATTTTGTTTTGGTTCTGTTCCTCAGTTGTGTTTTGGCACTGTGCAATGAGTGTGACATTTGAGTCAAGTCTACATAGTGTTTCAAACTGTGGGTTGTGTGACCCATTAATCCCAAAAACCCAGACCCATTGCTGTCGAGTCGACTCCAACTCACAGTGACCCTATAGGACACAGTAGAACTGCCCCATAGGGTTCCAAGGAGTAGCTGGTGGATTCCAGCTGCCAACCGTTTGGTTAGTGGCCGAGCTCTTAACCACTGCACCACCAGGGTGCCTGTGACCCATTAGTAGATTGTGAAATCAATTTAGAAGGTTGCCTCTAGCAGTAAAAAAAAAAAAAAAAAGTATTGTATCAATATATATAACACGGTTCACTATTTAATGAACTTTTTGCTTCAATTATGTATTTATATATGTATATACTGGGTTATGTTGTAAAATCCATCTTGTGGCTTGCAGGCAAAAGAAAGTTTGAAAGCCATTTCTGTTTAGCATGACCACTGACTAGCAAACCACTCTAACTTCATCTAATCGATCACCACTTCTTAGCTGTGTGACCTGGGCAAGTTACTTAATCTCTCTGTGCCCCAGTTTTCTTATCTATAAAGTGGTAATATTAATAGTACCTACCCCTTAGGGTTGTTGTGAGGATTAAATGAGTTAACACATGTGAAGTGCTTAGCACAATACATAACACATAGCAAGTGCCTTGTAAATGTTAGTTGTTTCCATTAGTTGGTCCTAAGTTTCGTTTCTGTCCTTATCACTTGCTGCTTCCCACTTTGCTCTTCAATCTCTGCCATATCAAATTATTTGCAGTTTCTGGATCGTGCCATATTTTCTCACTTCCAGCCCTTACCCTAGAATTTCTTTCTCTTTTGTTCGGCTAACTCCACTTCCTTAAGAACTTAATTTAAATATCAATTCCTCTGGGAAGCCTTTCTTGTCCTCCCTTCAAGGCTGGGTAGTTGTCTCTCCCAAATCATTCTGTACTTATATCACTATAGTGTAATTATCTATTTTCCTTTAGACTGCAAGTGCTTTGAGGGCAAAGACTGTTTGTTGTTATTATTACAATGATCGTCTAGGAACATGATAGATGCTCAGTGTTTTTTTTTTTTTTTTTTAATTCCATTTTTTGTTGTTGTTGCTGAGAATACACACAGGCTCAATATGTTTTTGTTTGAATGAATAGAGGAATGGATTTCTGTGATGCTCAGCTATGAAAACTCTAACTATACTTGTTTGTATTTAGTATCTCTTTCTATTTTTCTAGTTTGTGAAGCCTGTAGATAATTCAAGAGACTATCCTGACTTGGCAGAAGAAGCAGGTAATGTAGAACATTTAGATCTTTGAACATCCATCATCCGTTGTGTGGTCTGTCTTGATTTCATGGGTGGGGCAGCCTTGGCAACCACAAAGGGGAGTCCAGTCGAGGGAGAAGAATATAGTGGCTCACTGGAAAGGAGAGAGGGGAAAGAGTATGGGCATTCTTAGCAGGTAATAGCCAGAGCAGACAACGGCCTGTGTTTTTATGTGCTATCCAGATGTTTGTTGGAACGGTAAAGGGATCTGTGGTAGACAAAGTTAGGGTTATTAAAGGGATAACTTGATTGTGTAGTATGTTCACCTCAGGAGTTATAACAAAATTAGTGTCTTCCTTTCTTGGAAAAGAGATAATTACATTCAAATTGTATCAAATACCTGTATGTAATTTCTCTCTTGACTGAGTCAACATAGAGGACTCTTTTCTATCACTAGGCTACCAGTTGCCATTAAGTTGACTCTGACTCCTGGCAACCCCCTGTGTGTCAGAGTACAGCTGAGCTCCATAGTTTTTTTTCTTTTTTTTAATCCTGTTGAATTGAGAACATTATCTAATTTAAGAATTCATGTATATATGGCCCCCTAAATACAATGGAAGAGTTATTTTACACATACAGTTTAAATTCAGTACATTGTGTTTATGATTGGGAAGTAACCTTAAACTTTTTAAACAGCAGAAAGACACAAAACAGCTACAAGTGAAAATAATGCTGGGGAAGGGCCCTGTCTTGATCCTGGAGCCAAATCACAGAATTCTCAGAAAAGTGTTTTCTACATTAAGGATCTTATTTTGTTTTGTGGGGGAAAGAATAGCTACTTTTCCTTTGGCTTAAATATTCAAGTTTGAAGTCACTAAACTTACAATTAAAAAGGAGCGGCTCCTAAAGTCAGTATGCTAGGAGGAAAATCCAGCACAGACGGAAACTTCAGTGATCTTATCTCTTCATTCGGTCCCTTCACAATGCTCAGCTGAAGAGCTTCCCACTTAAAAGAGCTGCTGAAGTCATTTATACTTCAGAGGGGTAAGAAAACTTTAATAGTATGGGCTTTCAAAAAAAATTTTATTAGCTAGAATGAATGGTAGTTTATGAAAAGTTTTTCCAGTTTTAAACATCAGTGTCTTCTGTATCCCCAACCCAGTAAGCTGCAAGCAGAGTTGGGGAAGGGGGATCCAGATTGCAAAGGGTAACACCTGCAGCCCACCAGTCTGTGAACACTGTCAGCAGGCTCATGGGAGGGCATGGACCGAAGCTCGGCTGTCGGTGGTGCCATGGAGTTCATTGTGGTAACCTTTCAATTATTAATTGCAATCGTGGAAGTGTCCCTTTCCCAGGTATTCTGATTTCATTGGAGGCTTTTCATTAACACCTTGTTCCTCTGAACACATTTGGGGCACAACATATTGGCCTCCAGGTGCGGAGGTGGAAAATCGTAGGCAGGTAACAAGAAGACAGCACTCACTCTCCCGGTTTTTCAGGGACCCAGACTTGTCTAGCATGAAACTTCAGTTGAACCCAACCATCTGTGTTTGCAGGGAGACTTCTCCCATGTACCACACACCACCTGACACCATAGGTCTCTTATGGTGATTCCACTGCCGCCACCTTCCCAGCCCTGCCTGCCGTTCTTATCTAGGAGGCCAACACAGACTGAAGTGATCACCACAACTGTATTAACTTTCTCCAGTAGAGTAGATTCAAGGGCAAGTACCCCCTCCTCAAGGGGAGAAGCCACTTTAGGAGGATCACTCTCCTCAGAAAGCATCTTCCTTTTTCAGAACTTTCTAGGGGTGTTTTCCCCTTGTCTACACTTGATTTTCTTTTTAACTGTGTCTGGATCTTGGCTTCCTTTGCGATAACAGGAATAGTCTTTTGATTTGGGTAAGCATATTCACAGAGTCACTTATATGCGTCTAATTTCTGGCGTTCGGTGCTCAGCTTTTCTTGATGGCACAGGCCTGCACAATGTCTCAGTGAACCGGGTTACTCTGTGGCAGTTTAGAAGGTAATGGAGGAATTGGAATCTTCTTCCGAGGTTTTTGGTTGTCATTGCTTCGTGCATTCTCTTGTGAACAGGAAACTTTTTCTTCTTTTTAATAGTTCTTTTTGGTTTGGTTACCTTAGCCAAGGTTTTCAGTAAAGCTGATGTGCCTTGTTTGTTAGCAGCCCACTGCTGTTCAGTTTCTACTGACGTTGGTTCACATTTGAGAGTCACATATTCTTCCCCTGGCTTCTCTGTGGTGTTCCACTGGGGAAAAATCCCAGTCAGTCATTCCTCTGTGACGTCCAACCCACCACACATACTACCTGCCTTAACATAGCTAATGTCTAAGGCACCAAAAAGACAGCAGTTGAAATTCTGACAGTGCACATCCTCCTCTGGGTATCACCTTAGTGTCCAGTCTCACTCCTTGCATTTTGCATTCTCCATAGTCAGAAGGTTGAGGTTGATAAAAGGAAAATCCTTCTCCATAGAGTTTTCAATGGCTGATTTTTCGGAAGTAGATCCCAGGCCTTTCTTCTGAGGTACCTCTGGGTGGACTTGAACCACCAACCTTTTGGTTAGCAGCAAGCTCATTAACCTTTTGTGCCACCTAGGGGCTTCATCACTAGTGTGTGTGACTAAATGAGGTGATTCAGTTGGTTATTGTTTAGTATTAGTGCTGAAGAGCAAAGTGTTTGGGTGAATACCAGTGAGCGTCACTTAGTGCAGTCTGGAACTCGGAGAGAAGAGTCCACAGTGTGTTGACTCCTTGTTCTCTGGGCTTCTTCAGAGAGACATGCTTGGTCTAGACTGCAACTGGCTAAACTGGATATGATTCCACCAGAGAGATCCTATCTTCCATTGCTCATTCTCTCTCTGTCCCTCCTTCCCTCTCTTTCTTTTAAGAGAAAAGCATGAGAACTTCTTTGCTTGGTGGAAAGATGTTTTAGGCTTAGGAGCAAGCAATCTAAGCTTTGGTGCCAGTTTTTTAGGAGAGTGCTGGGAAATGCCAGCTTCCCAGCACATAGATCCCTTGGGAGCTCCTTGGTCCCATGGGAAGTGGTTAGGCATGGCCCTCCTCTTGGGAAGCTCCCTGGTCCCTGCTAGCTCATTGCCAGACAACCTAAAAAGAGTTACTGTGGTTATTCACCAGACTCTCCTGCTTTTCTCCAGTATACATGTATTTAGATTTTGTTTCAGCTCCGTTAGTCAGCTTAGTATTTAGACATTGCTATGCAGGGACTCGAAGGAGCCATGGTGAAAGATTTGCAGTTTGAAATCACCCAGCGGCTCTGAGGAAGGAATACCTGGTGATCTGCTTCTGGAAAGATTACAGCCTAGGAAGTGCTGTGGGGCAGTTCTACTCTGTTGCGTGGGGTTGCTATGAGTCAGAATCGACTTGATGACACCCACCAACAACAACATACAGGGAATCAGGAGTCCCCGGGTGGTACAAATGGTTAAGTGCTCAACTAGTAGGTGAAAGGTTGGCGGTTTGAATCTACCCAGAGGCTCCTCTAGAGACAGGCCTGGCGATCTGCTTCCAAAAGGTCACAGCCGTGAAAACCCTAGAGTAGTTCTACTCTGCACACATGGGGTTGCCATGAGTCGGAATCAACTAACTTGACAAAAACTAACAACAAAAACTAACAACTAACATACAGGGAATCAGAGCATGTCTGCCCCCTAAAAGGAAGGTTAATGAAATTTGACCAACTGCTGTTGGTTCTCAGGGTAGATACTGTTCATTTAATGTTCATCTCTTGTGTTGTTGGCTACATAATCCCCACATTCTCCTGTTGGCTGAAGTCTCCAAATAGCTTCTGCCTTTCTCTGAAGTGGGAGATGCTTTAATAAGTACATTCTATATAATTTCCTTCCATTTCTTTTATTTAATTAAGAAATTTGAGGTTACTTTAGTCATATGTAAATATAATATTTTTATTTTAAAATAGTAACATTGGGGTTAAGTTATGAAATTTGAAACTAAATGGGGGAATTGACTAGTAACAGGAAACCGAGCCTGATTAACTCAGCTTACTAATAGTCCCTTCTTTTGCAAGCAACGTTAGGAAAAGAAACTCTATTTAATAAAGAAACTTTTCTGTAGAATAAACTTTTTAAAACTTAGCTTTGCTCTTAAAAATACCCCTTGGTTCTAATTATGTAGAGAAATGAGAAGTGCAGAAGGATGACCCCACTCATATCTCGCCTAAAGCACCTTCAGACTACTTCATTCACGTTTAGATAAACATTTATTCAGGCACAGCTTGGGAGAAAAAACCCCTGAAATTCTGTAAATGGTCTTAAGCTTTGCAGTCTGGACTCATTTGTAGACTGTGGTCCTGAGGCAGGGTAATGGGTTTCTTGAAGCAGATCTGCTGGTAGATGCAGAAGTCTTAGGCTCTACTTCTCCAGACTAATCAGAGGAGGAACTTCTACCATTTTCTTTCCCATATTTCCCAAATGCATAGAATGGAGCGGAGCACAGTCAGCAGCATTGTATCCTTTCACTTCCATTATTCAGAGACTTCTACTCTTCACACATTCTTCCATACTCCATTCCCTCAGAAAGGCTGGGGAAGCCTTTGCACCTAAATGCAAATGACATGGAGCTGAGTGACATGGCAACACCATGTAACACTTTGAAATTGTTTTAGGTAGTTAAGTTCTGTACGTCTTTGTCTTCTCATTTATTTAACAATTTTATTAACAATTACTTTAATCTGAAGTGTATGCAGAAAACCTGATGTTTGGAGAAAATGTTCAACAAATGTTTATTACTGAATCCATCCTGGGCACTGGGAAGTATCCAAAGAGGTGTGATATTTCTGATGTCAAGGCTCTTATTATTTAGTAAGGAAAATAAGGCAAATTCACACATTAAGACAGTGTGAGACCATGAGAGGTACAATGTGCTGTTGGCATCTAGAAGAGAGGCAGAAACCAAAAAGAAAAAAACCCAAAATTCATTGTTGTGGAATCTATTCTGGCACATAGCTACCCTATAGGGCAGAGTAG